GCTGTGCTGCAAGCCATCGGAAAGCTGCTGTTACTGCCTCCATCTCCATTCTCATATTGAATGTAATGATGTTTTCATGACACTCTCTGTTTTCACATAGTGTCTATTCACCTTTGCCATGAAACCCCACTTACTCTTCTCACTGCAGACCCATCTGTATATATAATGATGTCACCTGGGCGTGATTTTCACTGATCAGCTCTTGTACCACAGACTCTGTTTCACCAGCTATCCATTCCCGGCCTTTATTGGTTTATTATTCCAGTAAATATCAGTTTTATAATAATATAAAGAACAGCGGCCATTTCATAGCCAGGGAAACAGGAAACTAAAAATAATAAAGTTGAAGTTAGGACCGACTTCACTGCCCTGGGTTATCCCATAGTGCTCGGTTTCTCTCACCAGAACAGCTAGTCACTTGTTAACGAAATGCTGTGTCCACGAAGCAAATCCACAACCTTCAGAGCATGAGACAAATGGCTTGACTACTTCCCCATGGAGATGTTTAACACTATAAGTGTAAACTAACTCTAGTACATTATAAAACAGATATGTTGGGCTGACACAGGTCACACCATACTGAATGTTCCAAAGGTTATTTTTTGCAGCAGACAGGTTCGAGTTGCAACTTTAGATTCTTTTGTAATATCCTACCCCAGATGACTTCACAGGACAGTCTTACATTTTAAAGGGTGGTAAGACTGGATTTTCCAACTTTCTGATGCGCTTAATGAACCCAAAACATCTAGAACTGTCCCTAACCCCAACCCACCTACGGCCCACGAGAGAGTGCAGCCTAGGTTCCAACTTTAATGCTGGCATTCATAAATATGCAAAGGAGATTGGAATCTAAGAGATTCGCAGCTGAGAAGTTCAAGAAAGTGGATGTGTAGTCGGGCCTTGGTGGATCCTAGAGGAAGATTTACCCTGGGATATTACACGGAGAAATTCAGCTTGGTTGCTGGGGCGTTATGACCATCTCTGCAGGAAGCAGGATAACTTTAATCTGTTGTTTAACTCAGTGAAACTGCTGACTAAATCACGAAGGACATGGTCGTGTTCATCAGTGTTGGACTACATATGGATCTGTTAAAGTAACCGTTAATATTTTAAGGTTCAGCTGTTGACCTGCAGAGACACTGTGAAGTAAAAGTATCTATAATTATATGTTTAATCTAATCTTCATTGCGAGTTTGTGTGAGGACATTAGAAGTGATTTACTATTATATCATGTCGGTGAGTTCCTATGTATTATTTCATGTTTGCTCTCAATGTCAATCCTGAAATTTTAACACACCTTTGTGTACTTATACACCCTAGTGTTGTTCAGTCGAGAGAATTAACACCTTTGAAATGGACTGTTGTTGCTGCTGTTGTACAGTTGCAGTTGGAGTTCCAGACTGCAGTCACCCTTACACTGACCTTAGCGTACAAGCTGACTTGTGTTGAATTTTGTTTGGAGGAATCCTACTTCTACTCAAGTATCAAGAAAGCCTCGCAATCATACCTAAAATTTGTCTCAGTCTCTGTGCACTACTGATTCAGCTAAGTTTCTTTAGCCCCTTCACTACTTCTTTGAGTGATTATAAACTCATTCTTCTTCTTCTGCCTTTTATTCCCCAATGCAGCACAGACCCTTGACCAACTCATGCCAAGTCATCCTATTCTCTGCATGAAGCTCACTACATGACCTCCATATCTTTTATTATTTCCAAACAAGGTTCTAGTATTTCAATTCTTGAGATTAATCTAGGTCAGGGCTATTCAACTGGTCCCCGGAGACCTAGCTAGTGGCCCTTGGATCATTGTAAATTGCATAATATTCGTGATCTTACTATGCTAGGGCTCGGGTCTCTGGCCCATGACGATCCTTATTTTCAAAATTGTGGCCCCTTGATAAACTGAACTGAATAGCCCTGACCTAGGTGAAAAGAGGTACATCAATGATCTGGACTCTTTTCAGCTTTCTCTACACCATGCCATCATTTTATCTATTAAACAGCCTCCGCCATCTTGGCTGGCTAGGTATCTCGTTTCGCTTGTTGACTTTTCTATGGCTGGTTGGTTTTTGTGGCTATTGTTTTTACAGGATGAGGTAGCCAACCCCAAGCCCAACCCTAATCTTAGTCACCTCTTATGACATGCATGCTATGATGCAGTCTTACTATTCTTTTGCTTTCCATGAGGGTCCCTATAACAAAGGGTTTTTAAAAAATGATTCAGTCAAGTTTCTTTAGCCCCTTTGCATATGTTCACTATTTCTGTTGAGTTTTTATGAACTCATTAAATCCAGCTATCTAAATGATTCAGCTCGTTTGGAGTAAACAAAATATTATTTGTTGAATTTCATGATCATGGTTTCATTGACTGCAAATGTGTTGATATCATACTAAGTGCCACATCTGAGTTTACATGAAATTATACCGTTTTTTTTTATATAAGGGAGTCGCCGTGGCCGAGCAGCTAGACGCTCGCTGCGGATCGGAAGGTTGAGGGTTCGGTCCTTGGTGGAGCCGGACTTTAAAAAAAATGACCTTGCGCTCAGGTCGACCCGGCCTTGAGTGGGTACCAGGTGCAGTCCCGGGAAGTAAAGGTGGCCAGCGTGATGCTGACCACATCACCCACCTTGTGCCGATTGGTCTATAAAAATATAGGTTTAGCCCTATATGTCCTATACACTTAAAGGCAGGGAAAAGGGTCCTTTACTTACTTACTTACTTCTGAATATAATCATGAAGAGTACATTTAATACATGAAAGCAACACTGCTAGAGCTCAAACTTATTTATAATGCTCTCAAATTGTTAATTACACTAATCTTACCATCTCTTCTTGTTCCGACTCCAGTTTCTGCAGCCTTCTCACTGCGTTTCTGGCTTCATTTTTCTGAGATTCAAGTTCTTTTTGAGCTTTCTAATAAAATAATATTAAATGCATAATCCTATTATCTACAAACTATATATCCGTGAAAAGTCTGTTATCTACAAAGAATTACATAACCAGCATTACTGAACCAATAAATCCAAAGATGTGTTCATGAATTATAAAATAAAGAAGCTATTGCCATGAATGAAAATAAATTACTAATACTAGAAACAAATGTATGCTCCTTCTTTACTCCAGGATGTAGATGGAACTGTAGCTTTGCTGAACTGTACATATGACAGTCTTGTCTGGCCAGGTGTTGGAATCCATGGTAGTTCAATCCCATATTTCCAGGAATCTGCTTTTTTCTTCTTCTTCTTCTTTTTTTTTTTTTTAAGAATGAAACCTACTGAAAAGTGATATTGTAAAAATATGGTGTATACTTAAAACCTTACATAGAGAGACAAAAATTATGGAAAGTAATGGCTCGATATGGTGTAAGTGAAAACCTCATTGAAGTTTTTCAAAAGCTTAAATAGCGACTGTAGAGTTAGAATAAACCAGGGAACATCTGAACCATTCAAAGTAACCCCTGAAGTAAGATAGGAATGTGTCTTTTCACTACTACTGTTTATCACCTACATTGACAGTACAAGCAAATATGCCAGGCCCAGGAACGAAAATAATAGTAACATCAACGAATTACTCTTTGCTGATGACCAGGCCTTGATTGCAGATACAGCCATGAATTTGCAACAGCATCTCACATCCATGAATGAAGAATGTAAATCTGATTTGATTGTCCTAGCCACTCTTCAAGGCACTTTATGATGATAATGATGATGATAATGATGATGATGATGGTGATGTCTGTACTTACAGAAACTGTCTGTGAAAAATGTCTTTGTAAACTCTGCTTTTCTTGTTCATAGTTCTGCTGTAGTTCTGTTAGTTTTTCCTCACTGCTATCATGCAATCTAGAAAAACAAAGCTAGTTCATCTATTCCGTCAGTGAGTAGAAATTAAACATGAAGGACTTAAACTGAAGCAGATCGATGTACATGTTGAGGGGGTAATGTCAGCACCTGTCAAGGTGTTCGGATTGCTGTGAGGATAACCCAACTCATAAATAAAACATAAAATGACTGCTAATTGGCACATTTTTCATTAAACTGCCCTTTTTGCTCCAGCATACTGTGCCATCAGTGGAGTCTGTCTGAAGAATTTTCCTGAAGATCAGGTTTGAAATTTGAAAACAAAACAAAAAAATTTTCGTTTTACATTTCAACTTAAATGGATAACAATTCTTTGACTGACTAAAGGTCTAAAGCCAGACCTCCAACAGTGACAAATGGAAAAGTGATACCTGAACACCTGTGTCTTGCTTCATCTTTCCTCAGACAAAAACATTTGTCATAATCATTTTTACTATCAGCAGTCAGGTATTGGTAGCTTTGCTAATTTTTCTCTGTTTGATATCATAAAAATACCTTATAGATTGTAAAATCTCCAACTAAAAAGTCATATTAATGTGTAACTATATTATATTTACTTACAAAAATGATAAGAAATTAACTTACACATTAACTGTGTGAAAAGATCAACAGTAAAAAGAACTTATTCTACACTCATAAAGGGCAACACCCTGTGTTGTGGTTTAAAGCTAGGCTGCAATATCCGCACCTTCCAGCTTAACACATCTAATTTCAGTAAATCAATAATTAGTTACCTTTTACAACAAGCTTGTTAAGGAGCAGTGAGTCTACCCAACCCCACCCCCCCCCCTCCCACCCCACCCCAACCACCCCCAATCCTAGAAGGCTTCAAAATCCACATGCGAAAATTTAAAGAACTAGTACAATAACTGAACGTGGAAATGGTCCTTTAGTGAGAGAAGGAATGATATGATTTATGCAGTGCTGGCTTTCTTCTTATTACTCTTCAACATTCATCTGTGGTTTCCCAGCCTTTTAGACTAACAAATTACATTTCAATAAACCTTGAATTAGTAATCTTTCACTGCATGGGCTAGGAGGCAGTGGATCTAATGTTACCCCTAAAATGGGGCCCCGGAACCCAGACAGTCAGGTTGACTTGAAAAATGTAACTTTTTAAAAGTTTCTATTAAAGCATTACCGTTTTATGTCCAGTTTCATCTGTGCTATCACTGACTGTAACTCTGAAATGGACTGATTAACAGAATGTGTTATTAATTAATAGTCTTTTAACACGCTACTGAACTTCTTTCTCCTCTAGGAGCCTACTCTGAAACAGGCATCAGAGATCTCCAGCCATCTGTCACCTGATATTTTGGATGAAAATAACGCTTTAGAAAAAGAAGTCAGTTGTATATCCTTCTAAGGATGCTGCAAGCCAATCATTTGTTGGCTGTTTGTGGTTTTACAAGGATATTTTTATAACAGCAGTTTGCCATTGCTTGCTACATTGTTTGCCACTTGTGATACTTTGTGATACTAAAACTATCATTTGTTGTCCAGCTGTTTACATTTTCCAAATGCACTTTCCTGTTTTCTTGCTTATATTTTATCCATCATCACTCAAGTGCATGCTGACTGTTGTGGGCGATCATGCCTCTCTACACTCTGCGGTCTTCAATAACTTGTTTCAGCCCGTGTGTTGACACCCCTCCATGCCATAAGGAAAGGGCTGTTAAGAATAGTCTTGCACTGTCTTCCTCTGCCTATTTTTGTACAGATCTTTTCAGTGGTCACACCATGTTCCAGTTTCCTTCATTTCATAATATGACCAACAAATTATGACTGCCTCTTTGTGATGTTTGTAACAAGTTGTCTCCTAGCCCTCATCAGTTCTCATTATGCCTAGTGGCACATGAGGCTTCAAAGAGGATTTTCCATGCTTTCCTGTCCTGTGCAATCTTCAGTGCAGTTTTCCATGTCAAAGATGCTGCACTCAGGTCACTTTTCATCGTTCGTCACCATTTTGTTTTTGGGCGCCCCTGTTTTCTCTTTCCCTCTGGTGTCCATGTGAGAGCTGTTTTGGCGGGTACATCAGGATTCATTCTCATAACATGGCTAAGCCATTTCCATCTTCTCTTGGTTATCATACTGTCTAAAGTATGGTTTGTGACTTGAAGTAGTTTATTGTTTGAGATTGTATCTGGTGAGAAAAGTTTGATAATTCTACGTAGACATGTGAGGTGGAAGGTGGACAGCTTGTGTGCATCCTTTTTGGTCATTCTCCAGCATTCGGCTCCATAAAGAAGAACTGGCAAAATGATGCTCTTGTAGAGTCGGAGTTTCGTTCCTCTAGAGTAATTGTTGGATTTCCAGATTTGCCTCATCTTTCCAAAAGCAGCTCTAGCTTTGTTCAGACATGACTGTATGTCCTCTTCGGTCCCTCCGGCAGGGACACCACACTACCAAGATATCTTAAATGTTCTACATTTTTAAGAGTTTGGTTATTTATGGTCACTGGTTGTTGGTTTGGACTGTTGGTCATGATCTTAGTTTTCTTTGTATTTATTCTCAGTCACACCATTTCTGCTGTGCTGTGTAGTCTGTTACTTTTTTCTTGTATATGTTCATGTTTATGTGATAGAAGTGCTATATCATCTGCAAAATCAAGGTCCTCAAGCATGGTGAATGGAGTCCACCGTATGCCTTTCAATGTCTTGTCTACTGTGTTTTTTAGTATCCACTCGATCACAAGGTTGAAGAGGAGAGATGACATAACACATCCCTGTCTTACACTCGTCTTTACTGGGAAAGATGTATTGTAATTTTTTTTTTTTTTTTAATTTTTTTATTTTTTTTAGATCCCTTTTCACGCCTTTCAGCGCATCGGGAATATGGGCAGAGCGTCCCATATTTTTACAGACCATCAGCACTCTGTGGGTAATGTGGTCAGCATTACGCCGGCTGTCTTTACTTTCCCAGGACAGCCCATCCTGGTACCCATTTTAGGCTGGGTCGACCTGCGACGTCCCATACCACGACAAAAATCCACTCAGCCTGCAGTGGGTTTCGATCGCGGTATGCTGGCTTACGAGTCGGACTCGCAACGCCTTAGCCACGGACGCCGCGTAATTTTTTATACTGCAGGAAAAGTCTTTATAGAAGAGAGCAATTATGTTGACTATTTTTTCTGGAATTCCATAATGTCGTAAAAATTTTCCATAGACTGTCTCTATGGACGCTGTCAAAAGCTTTCTCAAAGTCCACAAAATTTATATATATACTTCTCTGCCAGTCATTGCATTGTTCTAAAATGTTACGTATGGCGAAGATGTGTTCATTTGTTCCTCTGCCCTTTCTGAATCCTGCTTGTTCTACTCGTAGGCATTTATCTACTCCTTTTTCAAGCCGCATTAAGATAATTTTACAAAAATATTTTGCTTGGTAGCACTCACCTCTTTTAAAAATTTTGGGTTCCTCTTTATTTTTTGGCTGTCCAAGGAATTCTTCTGTTAAACCACATCTCTGAGGCCTCAAGAAATTGTTTGGCTTGTTTATTAATTGTCCGGGATTCACAGCTCTATGTAAAAACTCACGTGATGTAGCTTGCAAACACTCTTTTTCATAAACTCAACATTTTTCTCAATTGTTTTCTCATTATTTTTCTCTAAATTATTTTCATACAAGACTAATATTTTATTTCACCTCTTGTGCTACTATGCCCCATAAATTATTGGCCTTTTCTTATGGTTTTGGTTAGTGATCTTGTAGCATCTACAGTTGTCAATACCTTAGGATTGTCTTTTCCTTTGACTATAATTTTCACAGCAATCTTCTTAAACAGGAAACCTCACATGATTTCTGGCTCTAGTTTTTTTTTTTTTTACATTTCATTACTTATTGCCCCTAGCAACTTATCTTTTCAGCAAAACATTAACTGAAATGCAATTTTCCTAACTAATGAGAAAAATACTATTACGAAATAAAGGTGTTTTGTTTCTTCTGCCTTTCAACATCCAGTGAAACACAAGGCCAATCAAACTCACACCATCTTTTCTCAAGATTTGTCCAAAATTGGTTGAGTTTTGTAGATACAGTTTTCTAACAGATAAGGTAGCTACCTCCACCATCTCTCTTTTTACTTCTGCCTTCTATCCCCCAGTGGAGCACAGGCCCTCAACCAGCTCTCGCAAAGTCATACTATCCTCCACTATTTCATACAGTTCAGTCAATGTTCTTCCCATCTTTTTAACTTTAATCTCTAGCTCCCTTCTCTTCATTGTTCTTCTTTTTTTTTAGTCTGGCTTCATTTCTATGCCCCTGTGAGTTCCAGTGCAAAGAGATTCTAATTATATTCTTATAATGTTTTCACAATGTGTGACCTATCCAACACCAGTGTCTTTTCTTCACCTCTTGGTCCACTGGAACTTGTTTAGTTCCCTCTCAGAGCTCAACTTCAGTAATTCTATCAAACAATGTAGTTCCATCTATTCTGGGCAGGCACGAGTAAATAAATGTTTGCAGTTTATTAGTAACTGTTTTAGTTGTTCTCCATGTTTCTGCTCCATACAGTTCTACTGATCTGAAAAACTGTTTAGTTTAGTTTTAGTTTTAATTTCTTTTGATTTCCACAGATTTACTAGTAGTACATTACTGCCCAAATAGATGTTTTTGACTCAACGTCTTGGAGTGGGGTGCCACTAAGAGAAACCACATTACTATTTGCTTGATTTATTCTCATTATCTTTGTCTTTTCCTCATTAAATTTTAGACCTAGCTGCTGTGATCACGCATCAATTATATTTAATTTATTTTGCATCTGATTACGAGGTTGGGACAAACGAGAAATATATTCTGCGAAGTCCGGACATCAAACTGTTTTGTAGGGGTCTACTGAATTCCATTGCTAGTGTTAGGGGTTGCAGTCTTCATAATCCTGTCTGCTGACAGAAGAAACAGAAGAGGCATCAGAAGAAATCCCAGTCGCAAACCTACAGGAAACACAATGAGATGCAACTAAGAAACAGGAACAGAATTGGAGCTTAAATAAAATTGAAGACCTATAATGTGACAGAAATGACACACCCAGATACCCTCACCATTTGCACATGCACTAAGTGAACTGCCCTAGACAAAGACTAGCAAACTCAGAAGTGATAAGCATTTAAAAAAAAGCTAGTTGTGTGTCCTGTACAGATGTGGCAGAAACAACTCCAGCATTTTTTGGGGAGCTGTTGCGGTTTTTCTGGACAAATTTACTTTTAGTAGTTTGCCACTGCTTTTTTAAATGGTTGGGTCTCAATATGATTGTTGAAACCAATGCAAGGCAGTCTGTTAACAAATCACCTGCAGCAGAGATCAAACCTGGTCTCCCAGCATTGAAAAGCATTCCCAATGCCTAAGCCACAGACGCTAACTGGCAAATATAAGATAGACTGATACAACAAGAACATAAATAGCCATTAACAACCCTGAATATATTATTCAATTAATATGCACAATAAATGTGCAACACTGTAGCGATGTATGCCTGATACTTTAGCAATTTTATTTTGCTTTCAACACTATTAGATTGAGCCTCGAGCCATTACAGAGGTCCAATGTGCCTAATGTCATCTTTATCTTCGTTCAGGGACACTCGGGCTTCGATGGAAATGAAAGGGCTGATAAGTTGGCTGGATCCGCTGACACTGCTGAAGGTCAACCCATTAATCATGCTAATATTATTAATGCCCTCATAGAAGTGGGAAGGGTGGAAGACTTTCGAGACAGCGATTCTACATCGCTCACCAGAATTAAAGACTCAGGAGTTAAGATCAGTATAGCCAAAAGTGAGAAACACACCGGGCATACAGAAAGACTTATCAGTCAACAAAGACCTGGCACTATTAGTCACAGGATGCTGGGGTTCATACTGAAGGAAGGATCTGAGCACCCATGGACATGTCCGGAGTGCAATGATCATATCCCAACTAACTAACTATTAGAACAAGAATATTGTACACATAAAGTAGGCAGATTTTAGCAAGTCTTACCTCTTTAGATTTGTTGCGTTGTTCTGCATATTCTCTGTCTATACTCCTCAGCTGATCATTTGTCTAGAAAACCAAAGTTTGAAATAAAAAACGTAAACATGTGTAACACAACATGTTTATTTCTTTTTCTCCTCTGTCCCAGAATGCAGCAAATGAATTTAAATATTTTTTATGGTAATGTAAACAATACTGCAGAAGTGTGAAGTGTTAAACCCATGCATATCCTAGGCATAAGAAGATACAGTGACCTGATACTTTTTTTTTTTTTTTTTTGCTTTTACTTTCAAAAACTTTTCACAACTGAAACCCATGTTGTAAGGTTGAGTCAATTAGCGAAGTCACTGTCTATGTCTGCACTTCCTTTCACTGCTTATTATGTGAAAGCAACAACTTCCCATATACATCATATGTATCTGATCTCTCTTCATGCTCCCCTTCTATTTCTTTTCCTCCTTTTCTCCCTTTTTTTCTCCTCCTCTTCCCCCCCCCCCCCCATTCCTTCTTCTGCTTCATCATCTTCTTCTTCTTCTTTTTTTCTTCATCTTCTCTGCCTTTTATACCACAATGGATATTAATATCTCAAACTAAGTCTAACCTTTGCTATCTCATTTCCTTCTATTCATATTCCTATCCTTGTATTCATACATGACTCTTCCTGCTCTCCATGAGTTTCTAACATAAGAAAGACCTGACAGACAGTGAAAGTGTGGCTTCTGGACAAATGTTGTGTATACCTTGGGTTGCCAGAACAACTAACAATTGCCTGGAAAAGGTTTAGGAACCTTTATAAGAAAGGTCAGTGTTCTTTAGTCATGTGATGAAAAGAGACCACTGGAAAATATCATGATGACTGGAGACAATAGTGATATTAGAGTTAGAGACAAAATTATTTTTAAAAAAACAATTAGATGGGCTAAGGCGGTGGCATGAAAAAATATCAACACAAGTGATCCAGAACACTAACGCCAAGATCTGTAGAAAGACATGCATATCTATGTTGCCTTTTCAGCTTTGTGAATTCCAGTTTAAGGGCTTTCTTGTTATGCTATTATCTGGTTATTGTTATTGTTCTTTTAATGTAATCTAACCACTATGCTAGGGCAGCTCCCTCAGGATACACACTGACTATTAGGTGATCACTGTCCAAATCCAAAAATATACAGAATCAAATATAATTTTCAATTTACCAAATGGCACATCCTAAAAAACCTCTATCGTCTCCAGGAACATTACATACTTTTAGCTGTAACCAACACACAAGTGTAACTTCATATGTACCAGTAGAAGTAATTGCTTATATATTTACTGGAGTGACATACCAACCATTACATTTAACTCTTACACAGCTTTGAAATTGCAAACAATTTTTAAAAAGTTATACAACTTTTTATGAGCAAATTCCTATATGTTTGACATATTACAGCTCCCTGAAATAAAACATTATTTTATCATCTTAAAGGGACAGAGGGAAGCAGGAGATGAAAGAGAAAATGAAGAAGATGCAGAAGGAAAATGTGAATCATAAGGGGCAGAAGTATAAAAGAAGAGGCAGAAGGTGCATTATAAGTAACAGGAGTCCCATTAATTAGCTCATTGAGTTCTTTTTGTGTGCTGATTTATTGTGGAGAATACAAACAAACAACGTACATCATTGTCAAAACTAAACTGTATCTCCTTCTGCTGCACTGAAAACTCTTTCAATCATCTATTAACTTACACACACACAAAAGTTAGTTGTGTATCCATTACAGGACGTTGTAGAAGCAACCACATAATTTTTTGGCTGTTGTGGTATTTCTATGCAAATGTTACATTCAGTAGTTTGCCACTGTCTGAACGGTCGGCTCTCGATACCACTGTTGAAACCAACGCAAGACAAATCGTCCACAGATGGGATTGAGCCCGGCAGCCTGGCATTATGAAGAACATTCGCAACGCCTAAGCCTCAGATGGTGACAACCTACACAAGCATTAACCCAAATAAGTAAGAGAATTAAACTGACCTTCTCCAAAACAGACTCCATTTCAGCACTGTGTGCTTTACTTAGCTGTAATTTCTGCTGCTCATATGCTGCTTTCAGTCTGGTCAGCTGAAGATAAAATGTTCATATAAATCTCAGACTTGCTATAAGGGATTTGTTTTGTTTTTTCCCATTATTTTCAGATGAGACAGTCAAGGGAATTGATGTCTGCTGGCACAGTATTGGGACAATTATTCCTTGAGGTTTGAACCTCAACTAACTAACAAGTCTGGCCCATGCTCGTTTGTTACCAAGTTTGGCCCATGCTCGTTTGTTACCAAGTCTGGCCTATGCTAGTTTGTTATCTCAATCACTGAGCAAAGAGTAATAACATTGTAAGCTACCAATCATGAGACTGGCTTTTAAATGGGCTCATCTTGAGTTCATTGCACTTCTAGGTAGGAACCTATGAACGTATGATGTGTTTACTGAGACTGAAAGAGTTAAGCATGTGACATCATTACTTTATTCTGTTGATGTTTATTGTTTGTGTCAAGTGTTGTTTTTTTACACAAATTTTTTAGGAGTTTCTGCTAGTTTTTTTTTTCTAAGGCTTTCTCTGGTGAAAGGGTTAACATAAAATCCCCAGAAGCTATAATGAGAAAGTGCGCTTGCTTGCCCAAAATAGTAGCCTACATTCAGTCCCTTGTTTTATAGGTAAGGTCAATAAGGCTCTGGGACTGGTCAAGCGTCATTACATGGTTGAGACAAAAGTAAAGGATCCTGTCATACATTAAGGCAGGGCTATTCAACTAAGTTAACTCAGAGGCAAAAGTATTGAAAATAGAGATCGTCATGGACCAGAGGCCCGAGCCTCAGCATAGAAAGATCATTAATGCAACCCAGTCGGCAAATCATCTGTAAGCCACTTGCTAGATCTCCTCAGACCAGTTTCAGCCCATGGGCCACCAGCTGAACAGCCCTCTCTTAAGGTACTTAGACAAATGGTGCTAGCCCAATGTTTTACAGACCGATCAGCACTCAACGGGTGATGTGGCTAACATCATACCAGCCCCCTTTACTTTCCAGAACACTTCCTGTTACCCTTTTCAGTTAGAGAACTGTGGTAGCTAGACACCTGCCTTTTAGCCCATGAGTTTTGGGTTTTAATTCACATTGTGGTAGATTTTCTATAAATGTCTTAGGCTCAAAAACTTACTAAACATAAATTGTACTGTATGAAGTAAAAGTGACTGGCATAATGGTAATTATATCAACCATTCAATGTTGATTGGTGGCAGATCCATGGAAATGTTTGCAAGAAACACAGGACTAAAGCTGGCACCCATTCTTGCTGCATTCATCCATTTTAAACTGTATGTAACATACACAGAGAATCAGGCTCTGTACTTGAGATTTTTACACTTCATGGATGACAACAATATTAAATCATGGATAAAGTAATTTATGACATCTAACTTAAATCATGGATAAAGCAATTTATGACATCTCACCTCTGCTTCATGATCTCTCTGAATTTTCTGTTTCTCTTCCTCCCTGAGAATCCCCAACTCCACAAGTTGTTGCTTGCGTAGCTGATTAGCCTGAACTAACTGTTCCCGGAGATCTCGAACCAGCTGCTCATTCTCTGTTGATGACTGTCAATTAAAACACACAATTAACAGTCATTTCAAGCCAAATCATCATCATGTAGCAGGTCTTTTGCAGAACATAACTTTCACCACAGTCTGCCTGAAAGAAACTTGGTCTCTCCCAGCTCTCTCACCTCAGGCACTGTCTAACCCAAGGTGTCACTTAAATCCTGTGCCCATCTTCGTGCTCCTGCACCTCTTTCCTGACACTATGCCTTCTATTATTATTTTCTTTCAATCTGCCAAGGCGCTTGATATGGCCAAAATATTTCAGTTTCAGAGACACCATACAGTTTTTGAGTCAATTGTTCAGTTTGCAAGGAAAGATGCAGTTTAAAAACCCAATCTTCTTTGATATTCAGATGTTTTAATCATCTTCATCATCCCGTAACACTGTGTATTGTGCCATTGGGTCACCAGTTTCTGTTGACTGTGTGATCAGCTCTCTCCACCCTTGGTGGTCAGTTGCCATAGACTTCATGGTTGCATGCCTGAGACCTGTCCAGTCAGTCAAGTTAAGTTGCCAGGTCTTTCTTAGTCTGTCTCTTCTCCTCTTTCCCTCTACTGAGCCTTGAGTATATTTTTTAAGAGGCTGTTAGATCTTATTACATGTCCATACCATTACATTTTTAAATTTTTCACTGTAGTTAAAAGAGGTTCATAGTAGCCAATGTGCTGTATAATTTTATGGCGAACCTTTGAGTTTGTAACATGGTCTCTGTATGATATGCCAAGAATTTTTCTGAAACATCACATTTCTAATGCTTGTATCTTTCTTTCCAGTTCAGCTGTTAAGGTCCACGTTTCACAGTCATATGTAAATGTACTAATAGCTAGTGCTCTGAGCAATTGAATCTTAGTTTTGCATGAAATGTTTTTGGATCTCCATAATGTTTGCTGCTTGGCAAGAACTGATGTTGTCCGGGCAATCCTAGACATGATTTCTGGTCTTGACCCCCAGGTCACTTAAAATGCATCCTATATATTTGAAATGACTGACTTCTTTTAATTAGTGACCTTTAATGTAGATTGGTGAAATTCTGCCAGCTGAATTATTAGTCATTACTTTTGTTATTTTGTTATTTATATCCATGACATACTTGATCGATGGTTCACTGAGCAAATTTACAAGCTCGACAAGCTCTTGTTCTTTCCTGGCCAATCCATCAATGCCACCTGCAAACCTCAAGTTTGTTATAGTTCAAACTCCTATACTAACATATAAATACTTGAGTACAAACTTCAGCTGCTCCAACATACTAAGAGAAGAAATAATATCCAGAATACAACTGAAAATAAGTCATACCTTAAAACCCTAAAAAAACCAAATGATCTACCTTGGACCACCAAGATCATAATCTGCATGACACACAATGATAATAGACAAGATGTTTAAATGTATAATCACGATCCTGTTGTATGATGAATTAGGGTAGGCAGTTATTGTTCACAGTCTCATAAGAGTCTCGGACCATGTCCGGATTCTTGTCTCATTTCTGCAACGTAGTAATACAATCTGTGTAATTTTTTATTTTAATTTTTTTAAACTTTCCAGGGCTCTTTTTTCTACCATTTTCACAAGTTGTGATTGAATTTCCAAGTTTATTTCCACTCGTAACATGTCCAAAACATCAGATATGTCTGCGTTTAATTTCTCTAATCCATTAAAATACTTATCTTGCAACAATGAATTATAAGTGTGTGTTTTTTTTAAAATAATTCTCGGCTCTACTGGCAAATTTGGCCGGTAAGCTGGACTGCTTCGGCCGGCTTAGTGGGGCTTCGTGGGAGTTACGTCCCTTGGCCAAACTCGAAACAACTTCAAAACAAGTGGCGGAAAAAGTCACGAAACAAATGACATACTTACCTATCATCATCCGGGTGCGTGTAGGGTTGCCTAGGATGTCTATCATCGTCCTACGGTTGCGTGTAGGGCTGCTTATTGCGTGTAGGGGGGTTAGGGTTAGCGTTTAGGGGTTAGGGTTGGGGTTTAGGGTTAGGGTTTAGGGTTAGGGTTTAGGGTTAGGGTTTAGGGTTAGGGTTTAGGGTTTAGGGTTAGGGTTTAGGGTTAGGGTTTAGGGTTAGGGTTTAGGGTTTAGGGATTAGGGTTAGGGTTTAGGGTTAGGGTTTAGGGTTTATGGTTAGGGTTTAGGGTTAGGGTTTAGGGTTTAGGGTTAGGGTTTAGGGTTAGGGTTTTGGGTTAGGGTTTAGGGTTGGGGTTTAGGGTTTAGGGTTAGGGTATAGGGTTTAGGGTTAGGGTTTAGGGTTAGGGTTTAGGGTTTAGGGTTAGGGTTTAGGGTTAGGGTTAGGGTTTAGGGTTAGGGTTAGGGTTTAGGGGCCAATAGCGGGCGGCTGGTGCCCAGTCGCTGGCGAATTGACCGTTTCACCAACATCCACAGACCCTCGATTGTTTGTGTGTGTATGTGACTGTGCGCGACGTCGACGAAGTTGGTCTGGTGGACTACTACCTCGTGCAGATAGATGCCATGCCTTAAGTTTGCGACGTTGCTGTAGCCTCGCCAAGCGTCAGTGACGATGGTCGTTCCCGGCAGTACGTGATCTTTTATAATCCTCTCCAATGTCGCCGCATCTCGTTTTCGCACAAGCTCCAAGTAGCAACGGCCAGTCTCACGATCCAACGACCGTAACGGATGCGACCGCGCTGATACTTTCGTCGGTAGAAGTAGCTCTCTGTCTAACTGCCATTTTGCTGTTGTGATTTGATTTGTAACGACTTTTTCTGCGACTTGTTTTTAGTTTGGCGAAGGGACGCGAAGGGACATAACTCCCACGAAGCCCCACTAAGCCGGCCGAAGCAGTCTAGCTTACCGGCCAAATTTGCCAGTAGAGCCTAATTCTCAAAGGATAAGATAATTTCCCAAACATTTTGACTTATTTAGAGTTATTTTTAATGTTTCAACAATTACTCTGATGTAGTTCATGATAATATAGGAAATACTGGTTTGGTTTGTCAAGGATTATATACAATGTACACAGAAACCACTTAAGTGCTCCAATGTTTTTATGCAGATTGCACAAGCAGCAGAAGTAGAAAAAACAGAAGAAGAAGAAAAAAAAAGGAGATGGAGGAAATAAAGAGGAAGAGTAAAGCAGATGAGGAAGAGAATTGGGAGCAGAGAAGAGAGAGAGAAGATTAAAAAAAACAGAAAGAGCAGGAGGAGACAGAGAATAAAACTCTAAAAGAATAGCTTAACGCCTAAAAGGAGTTATTTTAGTCTAAGGTATTGCTGCAGTCACCTTCTCAAATTTATCCTGCTTCTCCCTCATCCTTGTTTCTAACTTGTGAATCTCTGTCTCCTGAAACTCTTTCAAATGCCCGATGTCTTGTTCGTGTTCTCTCAAGATATATTCTTTCTGCATGTGAAAGTCCCTCAGCATTTTTGCTTTCTCAGCCTCAAAAGCTGTCCTTGTCTCTGATATCTGTCAGAAAAACGACAAGAATTTGTAGCGAAAAGTTATAGTATATAAATGTTAATGGTGTAAACAAGTGAGAATGAATCCAATGATACCAGCAATGAGAGCAAAGAACATGAAATTAGAAACGCCAAGAGGATGACCAAGAAGAAAATGGACTGAAGAAGTTACTGATATCTTAAGTCTCTACAACTGCAACAACACAGCACATGGGGCAAATGAGCATGCACTAACTCAGACAGTGACCATCTGTTAACCTGCAATGCCTAGCAGCAAAACAGAATATGGACAAAAGAAGAGATTGTGTGTGCTACCAGACCCAAACAAGGGATGCAGATAATAATAAAACTATAAGCTACCATGCTTGCTGTTGAGAGGAGGGGTGGAAGGAAACTGGATACCTCATTCTGTAGCTGTGGTAACGTAGTGGTCACCCCCTAGCTGCTCTGAAAACCACACATAATGCCTGTCACTGTTCCGTGTGAAATAATTAATACAGACTGTAGTCCATGCAAAGCCAACAGCATACACATGCATTAAATGCATAAGGCAGCCATCAGAAGTGAAAACACAGTCTGGCAATATAAATACAGTTCATCATCGATTAAAGCAGCAGTTACAACACATCATTAGTTGCACATGTAATTAATTACTTAAAGCACCACAAGTTCTGTGGCAGCACGTCATTCATCATTTTCTGAATCTGTAGTTCAGAACACAAACCAGGCTGGGCATAACTCACAAGCACTCCAAATGAAATCTGCAGCTTGCAGTCTCACACCATGACTTCAACTAAGTAGTGGGACCACCAAACGACCCTTTTAGTGCAAATATCGGGGGGGGGGGGGGAAGCTAACCACGGCCAGAAGAAAATAATTTGTCATGACTAAAAACAGTTTGTCTATCCACCATACTAGACACAAGTTCAGTGAAAGGAAAGGAAAAGATGTACCCAAATACAATCAAACGTTTTAACATAAATCTTTATTAATGGACAATATAACAGAATCACAAAGGACAGGGAGGTGATACAGAAATGGAAATTTTTTTAAACAAAGGGAAATAGGGACAGGGTGAAATGAAACATAAGGGAAAGTAGAGAAATGGAATTAAATTCTTTAAAAAGAAAAGAAATTAAAAAAATGGGGGGGGGGATGTAGAAGCAATGCTGAATATCACCTGAGGCAGGGTTGAGAATGCTGAAACTATGAATAATAGGATTTTTCAAAGAGCAAGATTTTATGGCAGTGACGAAGTGAACATTTCTTGTAATGTTAAGGGTGTCTTAAACTACTTATTGATATCAGAATACATCCCATTAGGAAGACATGAACTTCACTGCAAAAGATTATCCCAAATAGCTCAATCTCTCTCTCTCTTTCTCTCTCTCTCTCTCTCTCTCTCTCTCTCTCTCTCTCTCTCTCTCTCTCTCTCTTTCTCTCTCTCTCTCTCTCTCTCTCTCTCTCTCTCTCTCTCTCTCTCTCTCTCTCTCTCTCTCTCTCTCTCTCTCTCTCTCTCTCTCTCTCTCTCTCTCTCTCTCTCTGCAGAATGGTTAGCCACCTGCACAGAGTGTTGCAAAAAGCACAAACTTTGTATCTCCAATGACAATCGACCAGGGGGTTGTCATATGACCAATTGCACTCCAGAAGTGAAATGAATCCATCACCTTCAGAGTGTCAGACAAATGGCTTGACCCCTTTGCCACAGATACACCAACTTTTTGACATCAGCTCGACTACAGTCACCACTATTTTGACATCTTTTATGAATCAAAGAGGACTGGACGTAGACATTTCTAAATGGTTAATACTGTCTGAGAAAAACTAAACTTAAAATTTTTAATTCTAATGTCAAATCAGTTCTTCTGTATGGGGCGGAAACATTGAGAACAAACTAAGGCATTTACCAATAAATTACAGACATTCATTAACTGGTACCTGCCCAGAATAAAGGGAATTAAATGATATGATAGAATAACTAATGTAGAGCTTTGGGAGCGAACTAAGCAAGCTCCAGTGGACCCAGAGGTGAGGAAAAGATGATGGTGTCTGATAGGACACACTGAGGAAACCGGTGAGCAGCCTAACCAGAACAGGAGCATAGAAATAAAGGAAGGCCAAAAAACACATGGAAAAGAAAGCTGGAGAATGAAGTTAGAAAGATGGGGAGGACATGAGGAGAGCTCCATGTAATATTGAAGGATGGAGCGACTTGACGGGAGTTGGTTGAGGGCCTATGCTCCACTGGGGGATAGAAAGACAGCAGAAGAAGAAGAATATTGTCTGAAACCCTCTAAAGACAACGTCTAAATCCAGATTAAATGAACGTGTAAACAAGAAACCACAAAGCACTATTTATCTATGCATTTGGTGGTCAGGTGTATTACTATTTTTAAATTCATTGGCTGTCAAAGTTGACAGTTAAAGTCAAGAGGACTGACATCATTGCACCGGATACTATTCTCGATGGTTTGGTCTCTCTTTTTAGACTGGCTGCCTGCTGAGAGTGTCATATAAAGAACAAACTATGTAGCTCTGGCAATGATCATCAGAGATCTTTGTAAAAACTGCAATTGAGAACTGAACATCGTCTTGTCAAATGAACAAATGATCTTTAGAGCATGAGACAAATGGCATGACCATTTTGCCATAGAGACCCCCACTGTGGGTCACAGACTGTGTTAGTTTCACAAATTAGTGTTGAATTAATAAATAATAAACAAGATAATGTGTAACGAATGAAAAACAAATAAATATATTTAACTGACTACATGAGTAAAGTGACATTGTGATGTAGAAATCATTACTCACGCTCAAATCTAGTTACCTCATTTTGATGTCTACATCGCTCTTCCTCTAAGTGCCTGGAAAACTCTTTTGACTGTTTCTCACGTGCCTGTTTTGATTTGGTTAAATCAGTCACAACTTGCTGCATCTACATAACAGAAACATCAACAACAAAATTACACGGCTAACACCTGATATATTCAGCATCATGGTCTCACCACAGTGAAGGACAGAATAAGTCAAGACTTGACACCAATGCACTCAGGAAATTTCCCATGTGGTCTGTCTTCTTCTTCAGTAGCCAGTAACGTGTTCCCATGCCTATGGTGCCAGTGACTATCTGACTGTAAGCATGTCTGTCACTTCCTTTATGGAGATAAGTGTTCAGATTCTCTTGACTCTTATGATGTATGGATGTTGTTTATGTTCCACTGCTCTATCCACTAAATCCCAGAATGCTTTCACCACTGCTGTTTTATCATAAAGAAAACTGTATCCCGAGAAGCAGCAACAGCCAATCTACCAGCATTATCATTGGCTGATATCTGGCATAATCCAAGATATACTAATGACAAAAACCTTGTTGTAAGGAAATGATGTGATGTAAACCAGTCTATACACAGCATACCAATTTCTATCTTCTGAAGCAAGTTCCTTACAAATATTACCACTTGTCAGGTTGCATCATCTTCCAGTCATCAGAAAGTTGCGATTTTTCATTACGTCTCCATTCTCATGTTGGAGAGGCCAACAGATCCCCCAATAGAGTATAGGCCTTGACCCTTTCATGCCAAGTTATCTTATCCTTTACCATGGTGAGTACCTCACCCCATGACCTCTTCAACTCAGTATGGTTTGACAGTATGGTTTGACAGTATTGTTTGATAGTATGGTTTGACAGTATTGTTTGATAGTATGGTTTGACAGTATTGTTTGACAGTATGGTTTGACAGTACATGGACAGAACAAGACAAGAGAAAAAGATTACCCATCCCTCACCTGCTCCTTCATCTCCTCATAAATGCGTTTCTGATTTTTCTCCACCTGGGCCTTAAACTCTTCCAGTGCCTTCTTTGCCTGCACACTTTGCTGCTGATTCTGTTCCTTCAGCTGGCTGACTGTGGCCTCTTTCTCTCTGTAACAGAAGATCTTGCCAATGAAGTCAACTATTCTCATGTTTTAGTTCGGTGTTTGTTTGCCTGTCTGTGGAACCATTTCAATCTAAACAATGAATGATGTGTGACTGACTCTTTCCCATGAGTTCCAACCATTACAATTATGTGTTCTGGAACTTCTTACATTGACATCAAATAAATAAATCGGTGTGTTTAACCTCTGAATGTCATGAACTCCTCTTTATTTTTCATAGTGTTTTTCCCTCAGGAACACTATGCAATATCCTCTGGGGCTGAGAGTGTTAAAATATATTAAACAAATTAACATTATCAAGTTCCTATGTGGGTTACAGGACCCCGTTGTTGGGGTGGGGGAGGGGGTGGGGGGGGGGGAGGACATATCCACTGCTTCTTAATAAGGTTTACTTATTAGCTTCAGAAACATCTCTACGTACATGTGATTGTTACTGACTCACGAAGCATGCTGAGAAAGATGGAGACAAGTATGCTTTATGTAGAGTGGCAGGCATTGCTTCAGACAGTTATTAGTTAGAGCTCTGCACTGGCTGGTAATCTGGTAATCCTAGTTTCAGCTTCATAGCAAACGGATCACCCCACAGTTGCTCCGCTCCTGTGCCAACGAAAAACAAACGCAGCTCACAGTGTCACACCAAGCACTCAACTCAGAAGCTGGGCGACGAAACTACATCCTTCCAGTCTACAAATGGAGCAAAAATGCAACGGCCACCATCTGACAGAGAGAAAAAACAAACATTTGCCACGGCTTAAAAAATTTTTTTTTTAAAAAGGTGGCCGTGCCTAGCGTCCATTTTGACCGGAAGCATTATATGAGGGTTAATAAACGGTCACCCCAGCAGTACCCTCTTTATTAGCTGGGGAAGGGACTTAGGACATTACATCCACCAGCAGGCGTCGCCCCTACAACGACCTGCCTGCCATCGTTAACGACTGTTCACCCAACAGCCATGCAGTTCTTTGGCACGAAGGAGACACCTTGAACTTGGGTTTCGGACTGCCGACTCCCTACTAAAATGTTATTTTATGTTTTGTTATCACAACTGATGTCACTGCACATTGGGCATACCCATGCGTGCTCAGTTCTCCGAAGTAGCAGCCACTCCAAAGTACTTATACTAATTGTCCCCATAAGAAGCTGGTTATATTGTCTCCTATCTCGGCCTCGAAGACGGCAAAGACGTGCATCACCATGCTTAACTCCCATGTCACGCAATCCTGTTAGTGTCAGGGATTCCTCATTCTCCACTAGCCCAGTTCGTACAGCGTTGACTATATCTGCTCTGTCCATACTTTTCCCCGCAATTATTAGTGCAGTGCTTGCCAGTTGGTCTGCTGGCTCATTTCCCTTCACGCCCGCATGACCCGGTGTGTAGATCCAGGTTACGGAGGTTAAGTGCGATTTCCGAATGCTTTCTATCCATTCAGAGCGCATACTGCCTGTTGCTATCTTCTCAAGCATATTCCTTGAGTCTGAGACAATTACTACCTGTGTGGCGGTTTGCTCGGATACCCATGCCAAAGCTCTAGAAGCAGCGGCTATTTCCATTGTCATGCTTGATGTGGTTGTCTGGTAAGCGCTGCTGTCCTCATGTATTGTTTTCCCCTTTCTTTGCGCTGTGTATGCCCATGCTGACCTTGATCCGCGCTTCACGGATCCATCTGTGTAGATGATGATATCCTTTGGGTCTGAATGCTGATCTATCAGTTCCCTTACTTCTGTGTCTACGGCCGCAGGAATTTGATCCCTGTAGTACCTTCCGAGTGTGATGACAACCTTAGAGATGCCATGCATGTCTACTGATGTATTCGTCCATTCTTTTCCATGACTGATCACGTCTAGGTCACATACCTGCTGGATTAAGTCCTCAGCCTTTGCTATCCAAGAGCGGCCTCTTTTGAGACGCGTTCCTTTTGTGTCGTGAATAGCTTTGTGTAATGGGTGGTTAACGTCTGCCGATACCCTCATGTAAGCCTTGACCTGTGCCACTTTGTATCTGCTAGTCATAGTTGGCAGACCCAGGACATAATGCATGGCGTTGGAGGAGGTGTCTTTTGTGCAGCCGAGTATGAGTCTCATGGCCTCATTCTGTACTCGGTCCAGTCTTTCTAGCTGGGTTTTGCTGACAGTGAGGAGTCAATGACGCTAAGCACAAGCCCTTGATAGAGAAGGAAAAGTAGACGTTCAATATCAGCTGCTGCTAGCACTTTGAGTGCTGTTAAACCTTTCCTGGCTCTAAGTATGACGTTGTCTACATGGCATTTGTAAGACAAGCATCTGTCAAATATCATGCCCAAGTATTTCATGGTGTCCGTTCTCTCAATGTCCACACCACAGATGCTTACGGCTGGCGTTGGTGTACTAACGATGTGGGTATTCAAAGAGAACCATGTTAAGGAGGCTTTGGACGGGTTCACCTGAGCTCTTGATTCCTGGCACCACTCACTAAGTCTGTCTAGTTCGTGTTGTAGTGTGGTTGTAATTTTCTGCCTGTTTTTACCTCGACGGTAAACAAGGATATCATCTGCATACGACATTGTTCTGCCTAGGCCTACGCGTTGTGCACTCGTGACTCCTGCTGTGTACACATTGAAGAGCACAGGCGACAATGGTGATCCCTGGGGCAGACCCATTAGGACGCGTTGAGGTTCGGATGCCCATTCACCACATCGAAGCGACACTGTTCTTTCAAAAAGCGCTGCTGTGATCCAGTTGACCAAATTTGTTTCCATCTGCACATCCAACAGCAGTCTGATAAGCATGTTGTATGGGACGCTGTTGTACGCATCTTCTAAGTCAATAGCGGCTGCAGACGTTTCTATTCCCTCCTGGAAACCTTCGTATGTGTCGTAGGCAAATACTGCAGCATTGCACCATGTATCTCTTCCTGGTCGGTACCCACCTAGTGTAGCGGGGAATAGGCCCCCCGACTCCAATATTTGGGTCAACGCTCTGGCAACGATTTTTTCCATGAGTTTTCCTACAGTGTTCTAGAGTGCGATGATTCTGTAGCCATTTATTCTCGTGTGGTCTTTCCCTGGCTTAGGAACCGGTCTGAGGTAGCTGTGGAGCCAGTCATCAGGAATAATGCCAGTTTTCATGGTGTTGTTAAAAATCGTGGATAGTTCATCAATATCTGTCGCCTCGAGGCTTTTGAAGTCGCTGTATCTAATGCCATCAGGCCCTGGAGCTGTGTCCAGACAGGTCTTCAGTGTTGCTCTGATGCAGTCCGTTGAGATGTATACTGTATCATCAACTTTCTCCATTTCAGCCATCTGGATATCATGTAAACTCTGTCTCATCTGCTCCCTCTTTTCCCTATCTTTCTTGTCCGTCTGCAGAAGAAATCTGTGCAGGATAGCCTCGCCCTTGTCTTTATCCGATTGTAACACCACCCCGTTGTCCATCATTAGATCGGGCATAACAGAGGTTTGTTTGCCTCCGTTCATCTTTTGGTGGAGCCGCCAGAATTTTTTGAGTGATTTTTCATAACCTATTTCTTCGCAAAAATGTTCCCACATTGTGTGCTTAGACTCCTTTGCGAGTTGTTTAAAATGCACTGGCTGCTGAAGATGGGGACAGAGTGCTTATGGGAAGGTACTGAATGCTATGCTGAGTGCTTAAAAATCAGCTCAACTCAATTCAAAAAGTAACTAAATGAGAGTTTGTCCAAATTAAGCTGAAAAGTGCATTCACTGCTGCCTAACTATAGGCCATAACCTGATGTATTGTCTGCCCTTGCAAGGGTGAACACAGAAGAAGAACATTATTTTGCTGGATGAGAGTTGAAGAGGTCATGAGGTGAGGTACTCACCATGGAAAAGGATAAGATAACTTGGCATGAATGGGTCAAGGCCTATACTCTATTGTGGGATTTTATCATAACCTGTAGGACATTCTAGTCAACAGTCGATTAAGTCCCACCTCTGAGTCTCACTTAGGCACAGTCTCATGTTACAGACCTATATGCAAGACTTGCCCATATGTGATTTGGGTAGACAGTCTCATGTTACAGACCTATATGCAAGACTTGCCCATATGTGATTGGGGTAGACAGTCTCATGTTACAGACCTATATGCAAGACTTGCCCATATGTGATTGGGGTAGACAGTCTCATGTTACAGACCTATATGCAAGACTTGCCAATATGTGATTGGGGTAGACAGTCTCATGTTACAGACCTATATGCAAGACTTGCCCATATGTGAATGGGGTAGACAGTCTTGAATTTCCTAACGCCACTATTCACATACAGGAGGCATTCTACTGCCGAACCACAATGTTATTTACACCATCATCAGCAAGAGATGTGGTATAAAATACATCGGTAAAACAAGGCTATGACTGACTGATGTACAACCTACCAGGACATGACACCAAGCGATAAACGCCCGGTGATTCAAAGTGCCACCATTCAGATGAGGTTTACCCAGGAACAAATCTTTGAAACTCCGTTAAACTCATAGGTTGGGTTATATAGGGGCCTGCAGCAACAGCCAGGGTGGGGGTTTAAAACAACAAAAAACTGTGTCCGACATTGTAACACACTGAATAATGCTTTAACAAGGCTATGACTAGCTGACAGGTTCAAGCAATATCTTTCTGATGTGCAGAATGGTACCCTTAGATCAATGGCTGCACTTCAGTTCCCAGGATCACCAAGGTGTCCTCGACATGGAGGTTACGGCCATCAAATCTAGCCACTCTAAAGACTGAAGTCTCTCGAGAACTGCCTTATTCATCTTAGAGGCACCAATTCATGCAGGGAAATAACAATCCAACACAGTTTTATCTTATATATTTGAGTTATGGCACTTGCTACTCGCAGCTTTTTCTGACCAGTTAGTAGTTAATAGCGGCATCCGTGGCTTAGGCGTTGCGAGTCCAAATCGTAATTTCAGTGCACCCCGATCAAAACCCACTGCTAGCTGCGTGGAATTATTATCATGGTTTGGGGCATCGCAGGTCGACCCAGCCTAAAATTGGTACTAGTATATAAGTCCTGGGGAAGTAAAGAAGGCTGGCGTAATGCTGACCACATTACCCACCTAGTGCCGATTGGTCTGTAAAAATATGGGTGTTCTTCCCAATGCGCCTAAAGGCGTTAAAAGGGATCTTTACTTTACTTTACTTAATAGTTGATAGTTAACAGAAAGATTATTCTCATTGCACATCGAACAAGTCCATGAGCACTTGGATCCCATATTCAGTATATCTCCAACTAAAGTTAACTTATTACTCAGTGCCACCTGACTAACACTTACCCATACAGGACAGCCAATAAGGATGCCCCAAATATAATTTCTTTGTAGGCTGAACAGGGTATCCGAGATACACCAAAACAGGAGAGAGACATGTGAGTTAGACTAAGAACAATATGGAAAGATAACATCAAATCAAGTACAAAAGTAAAATGTGTCTATGGTTAATGGCAACCAAAAGAGCAAGAAGCAGGACCATATATATATATATACTTCAACACCTGAAGCAACAAAAAGGAAGTTGAGAGCACATTTGTCTTTTATTCCAGTGATCCATCACACAGGTTTTTGGAATGCCAAATTATGATGGAGCCCATGACTCAGTACATTTATGCAAGCAAATAACCTTTCAACTTTTATTCTCCTTCAAATTCTAGTAAGGAAGAACAGAAAATAAGAAGAAGAAAAAAAGTCACTATCAAAGGAAGAAACTTACCTAAGCTGCTGCTCAAGTTTTGTTACTCTGATGGCCCAAGTTTCATCTATTTGTTCCTTTTCTTTTTTCAATTTACTTATCTAAAACAAAATAGATTTTGCAAAAATCATGTTCATGTTTTTCAGATAGATAACACTGTAGAAACATGTGATACAAATGAAACATGGGAAGCTGGACCAAACAGGCATACTGTACTATAAATATTAAATATTAAATTTAGCATTAACTGTTTCAGTATGCAATCGCATGGACATGTAAAATTATCTACTGGTCATGTGATCAACAGAATAACAAATAGACAGCCAGAGACGCAGAAAGATAGACAGATAGGCTGGCAAACTCTTTCAATCTCAGGTAAGGATTACTATAACTCATTCTATTCTAAGCAGTTCTCAAAAATAGTAATAAATGTTTAGATTTGGAGAGGATAACATAACAATATGAATTTTAACAAATGATTTTATGCACTGGAAAAGTATGGTCAATTTCACACATATATCGGGCATGCGCACCCACGCACACACACGTTTATAAAAGTACGTCACAGCAGTGATCTAGGCATGTGTGGTGGGTTAATTAGTGCGGAACAAGGTCAGTCTGTTTTCCTCTTCAGAGCTGCTACATAACGGTTTGAACTTATGTGACTCACAGAGTCACATCCAACAAAACAAATCCAAGATATCCCTTTCAACCTTCTTGATTGCATTCACTGCCTGTAAACTCTGGGTTGTTTATCTACCACTGAACTGCAGTCTAGCTTTAGAATCTGAGTGTTAAATGCACATCCGTTTTACAAATCTGGCTTATTTATATGCAGACTGTTGGTTCCTTGCCTCTCAGGCAGATGCACTACAACTTCAAAGGAAGTCCACAGTTAGTCGACTCCTTCGACATGCTTGTTAGGGAGGCAGTGTATCTACTCTTGTTTTCCCCCAGTGGGGGGGGGTCCCGGAATCCCCACCCTGTAAAGAATCATTTGTTACAGAAAAAATAAAACAGGATATACACTGAAAAGAGGCTTTATAATGAACAAACAGAGTGGATTTACGAGGCTTTATAATGAACAAACAGGTGGATTTACGAGGCTTTATAATGAACAAACAGAGTGGATTTACGAGGCTTTATAATGAACAAACAGAGTGGATTTACAAGGCTTTATAATGAACAAACAGAGTGGATTTACGAGGCTTTATAATGAACAAACAGAGTGGATTTACGAGGCTTTATAATGAACAAACAGAGTGGATTTACGAGGCTTTATAATGAACAAACAGAGTGGATTTACAACTGACCTGCTTCTCCTGGATATTTTCTAAATGATTTCTGCTTCGCTGATGTGTTTCTTCCAACTCCTGAAACATCAAGAGTGTTCTTTTGAACCTGCAGAATCTGTGGTGACTGCACTAGCCAGGTGGCCAAAAATCTTCAGGCTTAGGATCCCCTGTCTAAACCACCCTGGGCCCGGCTAGCTAGCACAGTTGGTTAAGCTTGACTGCCAGGCAAACGGGTGATGAACTCTTTGTAGTCCGGGTTCATGCATGGAGGTAGGCAGAAAAGCCACATTTCTCCTAGATTTACGGTATCTATCATGGAATCAAGGCCGAAGGGTTGTGATATCCATAGTATCGAGCCAAAGGGTTAACAACTCATGGTTTCTGAATACTAAAAAAAAAAAAAAAATTCCTCAAAAGGAACAAAAGTTTTACTCTTATTAGTAGACAGCACATATGACACACTGCTGAAGCTAACACAAGAGAAAATGAATGATCTTTATTTAGATTTTTATTACTGGGACTCTTGCTTGTTGGCAGAAAATATGATTACAGGCTCTCCTCCGAACTTCGTTCCCATATTATGGCGGCCAAACAAATACCCTAACAGGGATTCAGTCATGTGTAAAAAGTGGACTTCCTCAAAATATATGGCAGCAAAACTAGGATTACTGTCCGCTGACAATTTTGAGAAACGCAACAATACACACAATAATAGCGACATGGCGGGGAGACCACGTGCTCTGACACAGGTTAGCGATAGTGTTCTTCTGATTAAACTCACCGCCGAGCATATCCCCCGCGCCGCCTCGCGCGGTGCGGATGGGGAGCTAAACTAGATGGCTGGGACTCACGAACAGCAGCTACTGCATCTTCTGCAACTTCCTCCAATTTATTTGCTCATGAGTCCCAGGGGATACTGTTAGCAGTGCGGCATAGTCGCAGAAACAGGTCTGCAATTAACATATCACTGAGACCCTGTTAGAGTATTTGTTTGCCCTCGATTATATTGGCCCATTATTTGGAGACAATCCTAGTTTTTCTGCGATTTGTTCCTCGGCAGGTACTCTGCATTTTACACACAACTGAGGCCCTGTTAGGGTATTTGTTTGGCCGCCATAATATGGGGACGAAGTTCGAAAGAGAGCCTGATTACCAAATGGGAACAACATATGTGTATTCACAGTCAGTGTGCTGTAGAAGCAATCATCCTCCATACCCACAGATACTGGCTGAGAAAGAGACACTGTATCTGATTATGACTGATTCTAATTAAAAGGCTCCATCATCAGCGGGGGGGGGGGGGGGGGGGGGGGGGGGGGGGGGGGGGGGGGTTAGCCAAGGAGAATTGTTCAGCAGACTCACAAATGTGGGTCAAGAGTTCTAAGACTTTAAAAGAGATACAATTTTAAATTCTAAGCCAAACAATGCATGGTAAAAGTTTGAGTTAGAATCTTTTATGAACATAATCTGTGCAATGGTGTTAAGTATCATAACAATAGTTTTCAATTCTGTATCTACAATTCTTCATGTTGAAATATTTTGATTGACATAATTATTCTTGAATATTTCACACTGCATTAAAAGTATCATTATATAAGATTTGAGACAGACATGTTTTGTTTTCTTCCTGTACGGTGGAAAAACTAAGTCTTTTACTTGCCTTAATCTGTTGGCGCCAGTTATCCTCAGCATCTTTCAGTGATTTTTTGAGATGATCAATATTTTCTTCAAGCTCTGATATTGTACTGGCAGCCTTGAAGAAGCCAATGTAAGAAATAGTAAAAACAATTTAGACAATCAAGCAAAACAAATGTAACTGATAATGAAATTCTGAAAAGTGCTATAACTAAAATACACTAAATTAATTGTTCTGTTTAAACTGAACTGCTGCCTACAGTTGATTTGAGAATCAGCTGCACACCCATGTTGTGATTGTAACTGACTCGCAAAGCATGCTGAGAAAGGTAGAGACAGGTATGTTTTGTGCAGAGTGGCATGCATCGCTTCAGAAGTCCAGGTTACTTAGCATCCTTTAGATATTTTCTTCAGGGTATGTAGGTGTGTTAGGAAAAGAGCAGGCAGACAGACTTGCTGGCTTTGTACCACACCACTTGGTGCTAAATTTGTGCATGACAAGCTAGATGCTGTCAAGGCTCTTTGGGAAGGAGTGAACAGTGTGGAGGCACTCACATTATCATGGTCTGAAAGGAATGGTGCAACACTGAATGACCTGGGGATCTGACCGACACTCCAAACTAAGAGGAAAGGCAAGACAAATTTACCATCAGAGTTGTAACTCTTCGTTGGCTGCTGAAGATGGAGAAGCACTTGTGGGAATGTCCTAAGTGCTATGAAGTTGGTTCTTAAAACACAACTCAACTCAGCTCAATTTGATACAAACTTATCAGAAATAAATTTAATGTATTATGTAGGTACAATCCCTCTGAAGGCTGTCGGTTTGATTTTGTACTCAACACTTCAGTTAGCTAGTACAGGAGTTTTAGACATCCCCAAGGGTCATCACTGAAAATACAGTCTCATGGAAAATACAATATCATGTGTGATATTCTCAGTGGACCCAAGGGTCTGCAGAGAGAGACCAAGCCATATGGGATCCAATGCAGTGCAATGAAGTTGACACTCTCCATTTTAAACACTTTTCTTTATATTAGAAACTCTTCTCAACACATCCGGATCAGCAACTCCCTAACTTCTTTAGTCACCCTTAATGAAATGTGTGTTAGGAGCTGAAGGTTTATTATTTGTCCCACTCACAAACTGACCCAGGAAACCATTTGGGATCAGCTTTATTAATATGGTAAACCCGCAGTCCATGCTCATCCTATTACACATGATGATGATGATGCTGCCAGCGGACACACATAACAGCATATACAATCATATAGGATGCCAGCCTACACACACAACAGCATATGCACTCACATATGATGCCAGCTTATACACACTACAATATTTACAATCACATACAATGGCAGCTTACACACACACACACACAGCATTTACAATCACATATGATGCCAGCTTACACACACACACACACAGCATTTACAATCACATATGATGCCAGCTTACATACACAACAGCACATACAATCACATATGATGCCAGCTTACACACACAACAGCATATACAATCACATATTATGTCAGCTTATACACATAGCAGCATATACAATCACAAATTATGCCAGCTTAAACACACAACCAGCATATACAATCACATATGATGCCAGCTTACATACACAACCAGCATATACAATCACATATGTTACCAGCTTACACACACAGCAGCATATACAATCACAAATGATGCCAGCTTACACACACAACCTGCATATACAATCACATATGACATCTGACACTGACTGACACCTGGTGTCACAAGCTGTACCTTGCTTGCTGCAAATGTATGCTCATGTACCATGTGTTCCAGACTTGCTTCAGCTTGACTCTTCAAGCCCAGCATCTCCAGTTGATGATTCTCCTGACTCATCTGCTGCTCCCTCTCCAGCTGGCACAGTCTGAAGTCAACAATAAATACACTGGTACCTCGTATACATACATAATTCATTCCTGCTCCTTGGGCGTATACCAAAGGGTATTACACCAAACGAATATTCCCATAAGAAACAGAGTATAATCGTTCCAAGGTTTAAATCCTATTGTTATTGACATATTATACATTGACAGGGTTGTATAAAGTAATTTATATACTGCCAAATACTTAAATAGAAAGTAATTAGATTATATGCAGAAAACTTACCTTGCTTTACCTTCTTAAGAAAAGTAGAGTGCATACTAGGATGGTACTGAAGCAAGAAGATTTTTATTGTTTAGGAGTGTTCCCTTCCAATAAAGCTTTAGGGGTCTGAAATTCTGGATTTTTTCTCTCTTTTTTTTCTGTCTCTTGTCACTAATTAAACCTGGTTAAGTCTCGTTAGGTTTGACTTTTACTTAAAATCGGCACTCATAAAAACTTTCTGCCTTCTCCCCGGGATGTTTAGGAAATGTGATATTGTCTGGTCTTCCAGATAATGCTGTTATGGCTTGTTTGAGTTTTGTTGGCGTGATACTCTGCAATGTCATTGACGTCTATCTGTGGCTTTCCCTCGAGAGAGGTAAAAAAAAAGATAGCGTGCAGTGTTATGACTAACTCTGACTCATACAATTTTATATTCCAAACAAAAATTGTACAGCAGGCAAAAGTTTTCATTCACGTCTACACAGGGTGTATAGCAAGTTTAATGTATACTTAAAGCAAACAAATACCGAGGTACCACTGTACTTACAAATATAGTTGAAATGCCATACCCATTATCTGACATTGTTTCTTAGTTTCTGAGTGCCTGAAACCTACTGTGGGAATGCAGTATGTACAATAAGATACTGATATAGTATACTGTGAGTGTGCATCATGGCATTTTAAATAAATATATGAAAATGTAATGGTTATTTGGACCTATATATTGAGCATACAAACTATTTTTTCAAAGAGTTAAGAATTGGGCACCCAGGTCAGTCTAGCATTCTACTTTCTGACCTCACATGTACACCACAATTCCCTGTATAATTAGTAATGCCTAAATCAGATCAGCAGAAGAGCTGAAAAAACCTATCATGGCAGTGAACAGGTAGTTTCTGAGAAAAATGGAAAGAATATCATGGAATCACAAGACACATTTTCTTTTAATGAGGAAGTCCTCAAAGAAAGAGATGAAAACTGTTAACTGGTTAGAGAAATATATGTAGACTGTCACATTATTATGCATACATATGAAATATAAAATAGAAATAGACCTAGAGAGTCTGTGTTTTTCTATCATGTTTTGAGAAGAAAAAGACGAGAATTTGGTAACGACTGGCAAGACTGATGAAGAAAGAGCAAGATAAATGCCTGGATAGCTTGGCCATATAGATTGGGTGAGACAAGAACACTGTCCTGATCCGTGACTCTGGGGACTGTGTGAGATGGCAAAACATGACAGCCTATGCTTATCATTAGGGCATAAGTTGATGATGATGAAATGCCATTGTCTTCAAGCACATCTTTTGTGTTCAATGCAAAACTTTGTTTCTAGACAGCAGAGATTGAACAAAGTCTGCAAACACTTGAACTAGACAACTAGAGCAGAATCTATGGACACTTGAACTACACAGAACTCACTTTTCCTTCAGCCTTTCATATGCAGTTGCCAGCTTTTCATACTTGGCCAATGCTTCATTCTTTTCCTTCTCCTCTTCTGACCTCTGGCTCAAAGTGCAGTCAACATCCTTCATCAGCTGCTGAACTCTGCACTCTAACTTTTTAATCAAGTTAGTCTGAAATATATTATGAAAAATATATATTATATATATTATCATTTTGAAATATAAACTTATTATTTCCTTGATTAATGAGCTGATACTGAAAAACAAAAGTGTAATTCAGTGAAAAACATAACATCTTTTTTCCCTGATTAAAATACATAATTAACAGTTTAAAACAAAAGCCCTGTCTTTTAGATACAATGGAAGCAGAGCCAAAATCCTCACTGACAACTGATGGACAGATGGAATATCTGAGGCAGCGAATACCATCATTTACATAGAACACACCAAGACTTGCACAAGATATCTTTTCAAAATCTGAGACTAAAATATACAACGGGGGTGGGGGAGGGGGAGAGACAGAGACCCACAATTGAGAACCACACGTAAGTTCTTTCCTACCCAAGTAGGACATAATGTGTGACAGGCTATTCTTTATATGTACCAATCCATGTATCATGTGTGACTGCTTTTCTTGCATTTAGTCACAGCAAACTAGAGAAATCTGACAGTGCTTGGTTTTACAATGTGTATTTTTGGCCCCGCTGAAAGCGAAGCACTTGTAATTTTGTTAATTATTTCTCCCTCTGTGCGGCTGTTATGACCTTCTTCAACTGAAAAAGTTAACAACGTACAGACACATATTTTACATAATCGTTTTTAAAATTATTCAACAAACAATGCACTGAAGTAAACTAGAATATGGTCAAAGTAGAATGGACCAGTAAAGGATTGTGAAACAGTAACTACTAAGATCCACATACTTGTTATGTACCACTGATAAGAATTCATGATAGTACTGCTACTGCTTTGTTTTCATCTAACGACACAAAGCAAAATAGAACAAAAAAAGCTTTATAACAGAGCTATTTTTCAAATATTACTGATATTATAAGTAAGTGCAAACAAAAAAGTTTTTTTTTTTTTTCTATGAATCAAGGTGTTTTGGAAACAAATTGCTGAGTCACATAAATCTGTTAGATGATGTGCCAGGTGACTGCGATATTATCATGCTGGTCACCATTTAATCTCAGATAATTTCCTGACACCCATCTTGCACTAAATTATCATAGGAACCCATTAAAATCCTTGCCTCCATGAAGGTTTGAACAAAGGCATCTAGACTGTTGACAAGTTTGCTAGCCAATGTACTTCTGTAACTCTAATTCATATAACATTATTATAATAGGTGTATTTACAAATTATTATAAAGCAAAAACAAATAATGACCTTCCTTAGAAAAAACACTATGACAAATTAGATGTATCTTGTATAACAGTTCAGCAAATCAGAGGCTAGGCAAATGGTTAAAATGTTAGGTGAGAGACTCTAGTTTCAAGGTGATGTAGGTTTTTAGTTTAAGACAATTCATAAGAGCCCAACTGTAAAGAAAAGATAAGTGTTACACTCACAGAAGCAGTTGTCTGCTGACTGTACTCAGCCTCCATGTGCTGCAGTCTGTTGTTGGTGTCATCTAGGATCTCCTGGATGTTCTGGGTGTGTTGCTTCTGCAGCTCAAACTTGACTTGTTCAAATTCTGCCATGGCATCATGTAGCTGCAAATGCAGATTAAACCAAATTAATCATGGCATAATGGAGCTGCAAAGGCAGACAAAACCAAATCAATCTGTATCTCATAACATTATATATATAGTACCGGATCACAAGGACAGGATTCGACTTAAATGAAGATGGGTACAGGACATGAAAGACACTATGGGCAGGACAGCGCAAGAGGCAGGAGAGCTAGCGTGGAACTAAGTTTCTTTCAAGCATGCTGTGATATGTGTATAGTTTTGTAAAAGATCTGCAACAGGATGACAGCTTAAACATTTGTTTCCAAGGATTAAATTTTAAAATACTGTGTGCTAAAAATGATTTTGATTTAAACAAAGTTTATGCAAAGTAAGAAAATTAACATGCCAAAAAGGCACACTTGGTATATAGTGTTAGGTCATTATTATCAGTTAGTTGGCGGTTATATGAGAGGCCTTAAGCCTGCATCAAGTCAGCTCTATTTTTTTAGTAATACAGTTACCATAAATTCAAGCAATATTACAATATTTGTTTAATTAAAACAACCATAATACAGGAAAGATACCAACTGTAGTAGCTATACAGTTCCCGCATTTTATTAAAACAAGCACACCCAAAAAAAACAATCTGTGAGGAGAAATATATGTGAGAAACTATATTGAGAAGTATTCCATAAAACTTCATTCAGAGAATACTGTAATGTTTAACAAAGAAAAACTTAATTAACAGAAGATATTCAGATGCCAAAATATTTCATTTTGCAGTACAGTTAAGAACTCAAAAGGAGATTCTTCCAAAAAACATCTTTGGCAAATTTTACAGAAACTAGATCACAAGTGATAAAGTTTGCTAAATCATTATTCAGTACATCAGCAACTACGAATCCATTCCTATGAGAGAAAAAAGTAGCAAAATACAAAAGTGTGGACAGGTAATAAGATCGACAGGTCTTTTCAAAAACATTCTTCAGTTTTCAGTACAAAGGAATGGGAAATGAGGAAGGTCAAGACAGACTGATTGAATGGGTCTCAAACATGAAAACACCAAGTACAGATTGCCATAAATGGAAAGACCCGATCAAACAGTCAACAGTGACTCAGTAGCCCAATCACACATAGTGCTATGAGGGCTATAGACAGATCAATACTAGGGGAAGTCCTTAAGTAAAGGCAATTTTATCCTAGTCTGCATGGATCAGTATGCAGAAGAAAAAAATATTATTTCAGGACACAGAAGTACTGAAACATCCAACATACAGCCCAGACATGGCACTATAAGATTTTTATTAGTTGGGCCCATTGAAACAATGTTTGCAGGGCCAAAGATCTGCAGATGACAATGAGGAGATGTCAGCGATGCAAACTTTGTTACTGGCCACACCCAAAGGGATCTACCTGGCGGGCATCCACTGTCTCGTGGATCAGTGGACTACATGTGCCGCAGAGCAGGGAGACTATGTCGAGCAATAAGACACAGAACAATGTGGTTCTGGCCGCTTGTTAAAAAAAACTGATTAATGAAATTGCCTCCACTTAATGACTTCCCGCTGTATTACAGTTCAGAAACTTCATCAGAATTCCATGACTAAAGCTAGTTTTCTAAACTGTATTGTGACAGATGTACGTACCCTTTTGTCAAAGTCATTCCTTCTTGCCTCATTTGATTCTTCTGTTATCTTTCTCAACTCTGAGATCTGTTTATCTTTTGTCTGCTTAATGAATTCTGTCTCTTTCATCAAAGTTTGTACTGGAAATGATGTTTAGTCAAAATATTTTGTAGTTACCTTCACAATATCAAACAAGTGTGAAGTTAGCAGAAAATATTTTTAAAAAATTAAAAGGAATGAAAATAATATTTAACAATCTTTAAAAACGTTTAGATATTATTTATAGCATCACAATTTTCAATATTAAGTAAGTAATTCGGACCTTTTCTTTCCAGTTTACCAATTGTCTCTTCCATCTCTTTGCTCTTTGCTTTGTAATGGCTCTTCATATCTTCAATTTCATTGTTTTTACGATCAAGAATCTAGAGAGAGAGAAAGGTCATAATATCAGTGTGACCTCATCATCTACTACAATAAAGTGAACAGATTACAAGGAATTAAAAAACACCATTAAAGACAAGTCCTGGCATTCTATAGGTGTACTATTCGTGGCAGGTAATATTTTTTTTCAGCAGATTTAGTCACTCCAAAGTGTTGAGTATTCAGCTAACAACTGACATCCAAGCACTCAGGACATTCCCATAAGCACTCCATCCTCATCTTCAGCAGCCAGCAAAGAGTTCAAATTTTGATAATTCCAGTAGCAGTTTGATATGTCTATCTTGCCCTTCCTTTGAGTATAGAGTGTTGACCAGACCCGGTCACACCTAATTGTACCATTCTCTCCAGACCATAATGATCAATAGTGCCTCCACATTGTTAACTTTCTCCCAAAGGGCCTTGACCAAAGCTAGCTTGTCATGCATAAATCCACCACCCATTGGTGCAGAACCAACCTATATGCCTGTTCATTTATCAATACCTGACCTGGGGAAAATATCAAATGAATGCTAACCACCCTGGATCTCTGAAGTAATGTTTGCCCCTCTGCATACAGCATGCCTGTCTCCACCTTTCTTAAGATGCTTTGTGAGTCAGTTACAATCACATGTGTATGCAGCTGGTTCTCCTGAAAGTCAAAAGCTGCTCTGAGTGCCTCCAACCTTACTTATTAAACTAGATGTTGCAGTATGATACGTTAGATATTGTTGTACCAAGCGCCGTCCATTCACTTTCACAATCAACCCCCAGGCACTTCTTCTGCCTCTTAACAAAGAGCCACTGGCAGAGTTAATCACAACATCTGGATGAAAATTATCCGAAACAATTGTTAATTCTGCAGTGCCGGCTAGCCAATCCCTGCACTACCAGTTAAGTGTGATTAGAACCCTACTGCTTTTGCTCTGACACTCTGACCCACTCCTTTCCTCTTCCAATTTTTTCCCCCAGCATGTATACATTTCTAATTGTGTCTTCTGCTTTGGCCATCTAAGACTTCCCAATTTGTTTAAAGACTAGTGTCAAAGATTACTCCCCTGTCATCATAAACAGCAGCATCTTGATATATTGGTTTTGAGACCCCCCGCCCCTTCAGTTTCCCTAACCTTACACAACCCATTGCATTTAGCATTTCACTATTGTTAACAATGTACCTTCATGTGTCATTCAAATATGAATGTAATTCTAAAAGGTAGTTGGAATTAACTTAAACTTGAACCTAACACTTACTCTCTAATTTATTATACAGGTGTAGAAATATAGAATTACCTTTTGCACATCTACATCATGTTTCTGCTGCAATTTCAGTTTCTCTTTCTGGAACTTGGCCTCAATCATTTGTATCTTGACTTCAGCCTGTAAAAATATGTCTATATTAGGTTTAAATAACACAGATAATCAAACTTTGCTTCACATGCAGCGATGAAAGATGACAAAAAGAATACTATTATTCTTGTGTACAATTCTTTTTCTGCCTATTATCCTCCAATGGAGTAGAGGCCCTTAACTAATTAATCAAGTAATCTGTACTATCATATGCTGCTCATCCCATACTCTCCCCGTCTTTTTCATGTCCTTCTCTAACTCTCTCTCTCTCTGTGTGAGTGTGTGTGCAAGCACATGCGTGTGTGCTTGTGTGTGTGTTTTATTGCTATTATTTTTTTAATTTGCTTATATTCCTTTCAAACTGTGGGTTCCAGTAAGGGACATTCTAGTTAAATAATTGCTAGATTGTCTTAGTGTATGTTCTCCAACACGCTGATCTCCAACATGCTCTGTCACTTGTCCTCCTTGTACACTCTCTCAGACTGCTATATGTCCATCTCTTATTGTTGTCCTCCCACGTGTATCATTGCCCACCTACTGCTCTCTTACCTTAGATCTTTCCCTCCAGTATTGTTTTAAAAAGTGTGTTATGCTTTCAATGTTGCCAAAATATTTCAGTTTTGTTTTATTTTTTTTCTTCTTCTGCGTTCATCCGAAGGTGAAATTGCGTTGTGTCCGTTTACAGCATGGCTGCGATATTTGCACCTTTTAGTCAACACATCCAACTTTTGCGGGCATTTGTTGACCGGGTAGACCTTCCCGGTTATTTTATTTAGTAATTCTCTTTTCGTTTGTAACCTTTCCAGAACCCCTGTATTGGGGTGTTCTTGTTTCCATGAAATATGACCTCTCTTCTGTATACACACATCTCCAGAGCCTCTATTCAATTTTTAAGTTGCTTGTTCATTGTCCAAGTTTCTGTACCATATAGTAGGACTGAGTATACATAACATTTGACGACTCTAATTTTTAGTGTAATGTTTATCTCTCTAGCTGTCAGTAATTTGCGCATCTTAATGAAGACAATTTTAGCCATTACTATTCTCTTTTTGATTTCTGTTTTGCTTCTTCCATCATCTGTTACTACGTGTCCTGGATAGGAAAAACCTGTTACTTGTTCTAATAGCTCTCCGTTTACTGTGATTTTCACTGCTGGCCGTTCTTTTCCATTGTTAATTACCACAGTTTTTGTTTTTCAAATGATAATGTCTAAATCATACTCTACACTCCACCTTCTTCTCATAACATGACCAAAAAATAATGACTGTCTCTTTCTGATGTTTGTGATAAGTTGTCTTTGAATCTTTCAAAACATCTGAGTTGTCTTTTTATCTCTCCACAGAATTCTAAGGATTCATCTGCAAAACCACATCAAGAAATGGAGGTAACTTTTATTAAACTTTATTTCTGCCTGTCACAAAACAACCTGTCGGTAAAGTGACTGCCAAACAGTATAATATCCAATGTAATAGAGTCAATCCTCAATCAGAGTCAATCAGATGCAATCTATTTCAAATGATCATTTAAAAAGTTGTTTATTACATCTGTGTACACTGAGAAATTCCCAGGCATGAAAATAAAGCTTGTTTGCTAGTACAAAGTAACCTGGTTAAAAAAAAACAATCATGTTCACTTCAGTGGTGTGTGAAAACTGATACTCTACTCTTCATAAATACTCATTCAATCTGTACCATCTTAGGCCTCATCTCTTGTAAACATGATCAATATAGGGATTTATCTTACCTCCCTGTCTGATGGCTTGTGATAACTTGAGTCATCACAGAAAGTGAGACCTGAAAATTATATACATGTGTTCTTGTAAAGTTTGGCCAATTCTGTATATTTGTGTAAGAGAATAAAGAATAAGTGTGCTATGTACACAATTGTTTATTTAGTCTCCAAAATGTTCTGTGTTTTCAAACTTTTTAGACATTAAACAAATATGTGCAGTCAACAAGAAAAACCACTTAATAAGGCCAAAAAGGAAAGGCAGTCGCATGCAAGTGCATGCACCATGTATGTGTGTGTGTGTGTGGAGGAGAGAGAGAGAGAGATAGAGAGAGAGAAAGGGACAGAGACAGAGATAGACATATGGCCTCAAACAGATGGATAGATGAACAGTCATAATAAATTTATACTTTAAGTGTGTGTATTTTTGTGGGAGAAACAGAAGGCTAGTGAAAGAGAGATAAACAGCACTCATGAGGTAATCATACAGACAGATACAATAATGAAGACTCTTTGCTAATCACATTTTTTTTTTGTTTTGTTAATAACTGCATACATGCAGAAGCTAAATGTCTAAGACAGAATTATGTCATCAAGACAACTGATCCAGAACACAAAAGCATTTAGATCTGTGTAGAAACTTGAGCAGTTACAACATCTGACAAGGTCCATGCCAAAAAAATGACCTTGGCTCTCAGGTCGACCCAGCCTTGAGTGGGTACCGGGTGTAGTCCCGGGAAGTAGAGGCAGCCGGCGTGATGCTGACCACATCACCTATCTTGTGCCGTTGGTCTATAAAAATATAGCTCTAGCCCTATATGCCCTATATGCCTAAAGGCATGGAAAGGGTCCTTTACTTTTACTTTTTTTTACAAGGTCCATGGTGATAATGAAAGTCATTTCTACAATGTTTTGTTTCATGCATGATTGCTAGAATATACCTTTTTGCAGTGAGAATGAAGATGTCATCACAGAGGTTAGAGGTCTGCTCCATTCTGAGTCATTATTAGTCGACTGGAAACGAAAAAATAGAAGAAACTGTAAATGTTATTAACAAAGTAAACATTGGCTCAAATATCAAATTATACATGACTTTTAATCAATGCCAAGTGTTAACAACATATGTTCTGATATCATATTTGATTACAACTGCACATCTGTACTGTGATATTAGTATCTGGCTGAATAAAATGTGTTTTTATCTATTCCTGTCAGACAAAATTATCAAAGATTACCATTTAGATTGAAATACTTGTGGATTTTTCATTTAAATATTAGGTATGTAATTCTTTGAAGAACCTCTGTTATATGCATGTGAAACATGGACAATAAGTTTAAAAAATCTGAAAAACATTGCAAGCAGGAATCATCGAGACAGATGAAAGTCATAAACTATTTGAACTATTAGACACAAACAGTCAATGTTTTTTGGACATGTTTTAAGAAGAAATTGACTCGAGAATTTGGTAACAACTGGCAAGATTAATGGAAAGAGAGCAAGAGGAAGGCAGAGATAAATACCTTGACAACCTCGCTGTCAGAACACTGTCTTAACAGTCAGGGGTCAGTGCAGACCATAGAGATGGCAGACTGTGTGACCGAACAGAACGCAGAGTTGACAGACCGGTCATCACAGTGTAAGCATGACTGTTCATGTATGCATTGAAACTACAGTTCAACCCGACATAGCTGACAGTGACAAAGTGTGACTGGATGTGTTTTGTCTTGGTGAATCTAATGTTCCCCTGATGAGGTCACGCTTTCTACAGGCCCGGGACAGAGTTCAGGGACTGAGAAAAAGACCCAAGAGGTTTTGGGACGGGCATTTTGCATTCAGAATTTCAGACACTAAACAGGAGACATAGTTTCGGACGGATTAAAAACTGTAGTGTGTGATAATAATATTTTAGTGACCTGATAGACTGTTAAATAGTTACATTAGAATAGTATAGCGTCTTGGTGTTGTGTAGTGTCTGATAGTGACGGTTGTTTCATCCTACTGTAATGTACAATTAGTGGTGAGGTATTTTGGTAACTAAAGCCAGGTGTTGCAATGGTTTTTGTAACACTGCATATCCTTGGCACACTGTCCTCACACTCTACAACTGCCACGCAGTCCTGGTGGCATCCAGTAGCATGAGAAAAGAGCATATCACACAGGGTGTGGGCTGGGACCTGGAAAATGCCCATGGGAACAGGACGGCGTGTCTAGTGAGTTGTAAAGCTAGCACATCTGGCGTTTCGGGTAAAAATGTACCCACACAGTGTGAAGTCAATTGTCTTATCATTCAACTATGATTTATCATTAAAGATTGTTGTGTGTGCTCTGTAAGTGTCTGGGTCTAGTGTGTTACAGGTTACATTGTCTGTCACAGGCCCAGCCCACAAGCCGCAGAATATCAAGGTCAACCAGAGGTTGGTAACAGATAAGCAGGAGTTCACCGGGTATCAACTCCTAAGGACAAAAACAAACTTTACAAATGGATGGAGCGAGACAAAACCACTGAGCTGATCCAGGATACTGGTGCCTGCAAGATGGGGAAACATGACAACCTATGCTTGCCAGCATAGTACATGATGATGAGGACGATGTGTAATTCTAGTTTTATAGGTGCTTACTCAATGCCAATTTAGTTTAAGCTGTGTGAATCTATGCGGAGAGCTCTTTTCCTCACAGTCTGAATGCTATCTTTTTTTTTTAAACACACTGTGTTATTTGGTTGATAGTGACATTTTTATTGGAGAACCTTAGACACAAGCACTGGAGCTACAGCATTTATGTTATGTGTGATGCTTTCAGCAAGTAGTCAGCTGCTCTGTGAAAAAGACTCAGCCATAACAGATAAAACTCAGCACCTGAAAGTCAATCCTTTCAACCCTGAACACCTTTAGGCTTGGTTAGGAAAGTCTTTAGAAATAACCAGTAAGGTATTTAGCTCTAATTATCATATGAATGTGATATGGTCGTTAAAAAACTTGAATTTTCATAACAGGAAGCTATTATCTGTGGCTGGTTCTTCTAAGCATTCTTAACAGGAAGCAAGTATTTGTGGTTCCTAATTCTGAGTGTTTAAAAATGGAGGCCAGAATTTGTGGCAGGCAAGAGTCACTGAACTCCTTTTTTTTTTTTTTTAACTGTTGAGGGTTAACTCTTTCTGGACATATCGCTGATTAGTGACAGAATCGCTCAGTTTAGCATACTGTGGATTCCCCAGCTGCTGACACAGACACTCTAATATTGTTTCATTTGCTTTCAAAATGTATTTTTATGAACCTGTTTTGAAAAACTAGAATTAGCTAAACAAAGTATTTTCATTTTCAAAGTGTGTGAAACTGAGAGATTTAATTTTTTATTAGTTTTAAATTAAATCAGTGCGATACAATTGTTGTGTTATTTTTTTTTTCCTAAAATGGCCAGAACAATAATACAGCTAGATCTAGAACTGTTCCATCAAATTAAAGAGAAATATTTGTGGTTCCTAATTCTGAGTGTTTAAAAATGGAGGCCAGAATTTGTGGCAGGTAACAGTCACTGAACTCCTTTTTAAAAAAAAAACTGTTGGTGGTTAACTCTTTCTGGACATATCGCTGATTAGTAACAGAATCGCTCAGTTTAGCATACAGCGGATTCATGAATCTGAGCTAGATAGTGACAACAGTCTTGACATTATGATTAATAATGTATGTGCAGCACCTACTGCTGACATTATGGGGTAGGGATGAAGTTGAAACAAATGTTTCAATCAGATTGCCCCTGTTTTGATCATCTGTGTCTAGAATTTGTCTGGAATTTGGTTATTCTGAAATTTCACGTGTCACATACAAATGGTCATAAAATCCAAAGTATTTAGAATAATTATCTCAAATTCAAAACTAGCTGATGCATAAATGAGTTGAGAAGGCATGTGAATTCTTAGAAATAGATAGCAGTGTTGCTGATCAAGTAAAAAAAAGTTAGATAAGTACAAAACTCAATGTGTACATTGTTGTTGCAATACTGACCCTTAAATTGTTATATTTCTCTTCAATTTTATATTTATATATATATATATATATATATATCACTGTCTGCGCCGACGTCGAGATAGTCCTTGATTGCCCCCCCACCCCCCCCCCCCCCCCCCCCCCCCCCCCCCCCCCCCCCCCCCCAATCGAAGGTTGTTTGGGAAAAAAAAACAGAAAATAGAAATCGTGTTTAATATGGTTATTGTGGCAAATATAGAGATAGTCTTGTTTGCTGTACCACGACCTACTCTATGTATTAGTATTAGAGAAGACGTTGGCTGCACGTAACTCGCCGGCGAATGGTAAATACGGCAACATGCGCAATTACTAACGTGGCTATAATTAGAAATCACTAAAGTTATAAATATTAGTTGCGTATATTTTGGCATAAATTGTGGTCACCTATCTCTAACAGTGACAGGTTGAATTTCAAACCGCGACAGTTCAAAATCCGGTATCACAACAAACATATCCTGAAAATTTCAGCTAAATCGGTTCAGTAGTTTCCGAGTCTATAGGGAGCAAACAATCACACAAACATTGATTTATATATATATATATATATATATATATATATATATATATATATATATATATATATATATATATATATATATATATATATATATATATATATATCACTATACACACAATAAATTATTTTCAGGAAGGTTTTAGCTTTGTCATGCTGCAATAAAAGAATTCAGCTCAAAATTTATTATGTCCAAGCCTAAAAACAAATGCCATCAAGAAAGAGCTAACATAGTAAACAAATGCACAGAAGATCCCAGATCTGACTTTCAAAAAAGCAGAAATATCAAAGCTCTGCTGTATACAGACAATACAAATACTGTCAACAAAATAAATTACTGAACAAATGAAAAAGTTTTTATTGTATCCAAATTACAATATTTTAAATATTCTTTACACAACCATATTTAACATCAACACAGTTTTTAACTTATAAACTCCTGTGATAATCTTCACATCCTTTAAACTCTAACAGAAGTAAAGCTAAGATAATATTAGGATTGAATTATCTTTTATCCCTTACCTCCTGGAACTTCACCTCATTTCTTTGTTCTTTTGATTTTACTTCTGTAGAGGAAAAGTTTCAGTAAATTTATTTAACCAAAAAAATGCACAAGTCACTGTTAGTTTGTAATAACAGTTTTTTTAAACAATAAAGAACGTTTTACCACACCAGAGATGTACTGGGTATATGGTGCTAGCTTACATATCAATCATCATCCGGTTGGTGATGTGGTTAATTTCACACCGCTCGCTTTTAATACTCAAAACATTTTTGCTGGTACCCATATTAGGCTGGGTTGATGACTTGCCGTGAGAGAAAGAGTATTTAAGTGTTACGTAGAAACTGTATTGTTATATGCAGATAAGCTGAGTTGAGTTGAGTTGATTCAGGAACCGACTTTACAGCACTCGGGGCATTACCATAAGCGCTCCGTCCCCATCTTCAGCAGCCAGTGTAGAGTTCCAATCCTAATGGTGCCAGTAGCATTCTGATTAAACGTCCGTCTTACCTTTCCTCTGAGCCTCGAGCATCTGCCAGAACCCCTCGTCACTCCCCGCTGCATCAGTCTCACCAGATTGGTGATCCATCTGCTCCCCGAACTGTACACACTCTCCCACAAGGCACTAACTACGTCTGCCTTATCATGCATTCAGCAGATAAGCTGAAAAACATTTACTCACGGCAGAGATGTAGTTTCTGAGAAGAATGTAAACACTATCATAAAAGGATAAAACAAACGAAGCAGTCCTCATTGAGATAGATGAAAGTTGTAAACTTATTAGAACAATTAGACGCAGACAATCAATATTTTTTGGACATTAAAAGAAGGAATGGATTTGAGATTTGGTAATAACTGGCAAGATTGATGGAAAGAGAGCAAGAAGAGGGCAAAAATATAAATACCTGGATAGCCCAGCCAAAAGGATGGGGGGTGAGACAAAAACATTGAACTGATCCATGATTCTGGCAATCA